GTAAATCTTCGTGAGAAATATTAGATTTGTTTCCTGACTGTTTCAAATTTAAACACTTATCGACTCACAAGTTTAACTGAATTTGATAGATTTTTTCATTCTTGATGATTCAGTTTTGCCTTCTGGGAACCGCTTGAAAAGAAAATGTGCAGTTCTTGAATTTTATAAGCTCTGAGAAGTGTTTATGGAGCCGATTACTATGGAAACGAATTTATTACGCGGTATAAAACACAGTATCCCCTTGTTATTTACATGACTTCTATAAAGCCTATCAACGGGTGTTTGTTTTGATAACAACTCCCCAGCAGACGGCCGTGGACGGACAAGTTTACCACCGTTTGAAAGCTCTTTTAATGTAGTTTTAGATGCAATTGACTTCATCTGCATCTTCTTGCACCGAAGACAGAGACGCAAGTTCAAAATATGAGGAAAATAGAAGAAAATTTATGAATAACTCATCCTATTAAAATGATGCAGGTATAGTATGTTCTAGAAAGATGTGTATTTTAGTATACCAATCAATTTTGTTGAACATAGTGAAGACCTAAAATTAAAGAAAATATGTGTTATGATGTAAAACGTGTTTTTGGGGGGTCTCACGCTATGTCTGATGGCACTTTTTTTGCAACATTCATGTACCTCAGATTTTCCTTGACAGGATGTTAGTATTGATCCTAACAATCAAATCTGTGATGGTTTTAAAATATTTCATCTTGGGTTTTTTGAGAAAAAAGTGTTTTGAAGTTTACAAAGCCGATTATGAAGGCGTATATGGACTATTGACGATACAAAACTATTACGAATTGAACAAATGCAGTTAAACAATGTTCAAATGATGATTGAATTAATCTAAATGGCATTAAAGAGTTCTCTTTGACTCTCAAGTAAGATCCGTATTGATTATGTAAACTTTGACCAAAATCAATTAATAATTGTTGCTAGAACAACTTCATAATTAGTTTCTCTTCCCTCATAAGAGTAGAAGAGAAAGAAACGAGCAAGACAGTCTGAGGCAGCCACGTAATCATAGTAGGCACAGATTTTCGTCCTGTTTCGAGTGTTTTTGTTTTTATTGGAGATATCGTGTAGAAAATCTGAAAAAATTAAAAAAAAAACTTCATGAAGAAAATAGAGAGTTTGCTTGTTGTGCTTCGAAAAAGCGACTCTGTAAAAAAAATCAAGCCACTTTAGAAGCGACGATCGTTGAAAGATTTTTACTCCATGGAGTTCAATAAAGGAGATTGTAGGTATCCGAAAGTTTTGTGCCCCGTACTCAGCAGGTGGTGAAGGTGGCATTTGCCACCAAAACATCCTGACAATTTGCTTGGATTTAAAAAAAAAATAGATCAATGGCGAGATCGAAAATAAATTCTGGCAACCATGACGAATTGGTTTGAAAATCGTCCAACCGATAATACAGGAATGAAACTCACATGAGGTTAGCTACTCTTGCCCAGTGAGTTTAGGTAGTCCTAAACTTAAATTACTACAGAATTGCTAGAGCTTCATTGCAATTCTCATATTTTGAATAAGAAAACATTCAGGAAGGTTCAGCGAGTTTCTAGGAAATTATGCGAACTATAGGGAACTGTAGTGAATTTTTTTTAAAGTTCGGCAAACTATAAATAAGTTCCTCCAAAGAAGCAGAGAAATTCAACAACTTTCAGAGAAGTTCATTGAACTTCAAGAAAGACTTCAGGAAAATTCTTCAAACTTTAAAGGTGTTCTTCGCTCTCCAGATCTGCCAACTTCAGGGATATTTTGTGAGCTTCAGGGGAGTTCAATGCTATCCTGGTAAGTTCTACGAACTTCAAGAGAGTTCTGTGAACTATAGCAACATTATATGAATTTCAATGATGTGCTGCAAACAGTTCTTTAAACGTGAGAAAATTTTTGCAACCTTTAGGATGGTCTGTGAACCTCAGGAAAATTTAATAACATTAGGAAAGTACTATGAATTTTGCAAAATATCTGAGAATTTCAGGAAAAAAAAACAAGAACATTAAAGAACATCATGAAAGTTTGAAGAATTTTATCGAAGTTCAACGAAATCAAGGAAAAACATATGAACAGGGATTTGAATTTGAATGTTACTTCTATAAGCTGTCTCATCGAGTCATTGGTGGAACAACTCCCACTCCATGTCTTAGAAAACAGGTATAATATTGAGAATTTGTTGCAATATCTCTTTCTCTTTTACGCTTCCTTTATGAAATGTGATCGAGGGCATGAGCAGAGTGGAAGGGCTTAAAAATGAGAGTTTGCCACCTAAAAAAAAATCGTGAGTACGGCTGACGCATGTTACATTGCCGTTTAACGGTACAAAAAAAGGGAGCAGTTTATGAAAATTGAGGTTCATAAATATCCAGAAGACCAAACTCGACAGTCAAATACCACAGAAAAAAAATTCATAAAAAATTTCAAATTATGTCGAACGCAGGTTTCAGAATTCAGACTTCAGAATCTCTCCAAATTGGCAGATGAATGTAAGCATCATTTTGTTGCCAAAAGCATTAGATAGTTAGCAGGCAAAAAACTAGTCTAGGATCTCGATGTGAGTGTAATTTACGACTTTTATGTCTTCAGCAAAGTTGTTTGTAACTATTTTTGCTATAACTTAGCTGAAAATGACAACCATTTATCTCGACATTGTGAAAAAATATTTTTTTTTCATTTTATTTTTAATGGGATTAATCCTTGGATTAATCACAAAACTCATGCCTTCAAAAGATGAAGCATGTTATAGGGTTAACTGCCCTATTTCCGGCCTATTTAGCCCAACCCGCACTTAGTCTTTCTTAATCTAGCGCAGTTTAGCACCAAATAGAATATTATTATTACTGATGGCTTTCAAATTTATTTACCTTTCCATACGTACCGTAGGATTTGATAAAGAGAAACCAATCGTTGAGATATTGTCAAAAGTCTAACACTGCTTCTTGACGCCAAACTCGGCCTACGGATTCTAAACTCGGCCTAACGCATTGCAACGCCATTGAAACGCCAATGAATTCACTTCGGCCTATCGGATGAAGATAAAAATTGAATTGGTCGGAGTGCTTCTTTTGTTTTTGGAAATAATGGGTGCAAACCTTCACATCACGCGTTCTCATTGATTTCGTTCGGAAGCTTATTAACTAAAGTATCGTACCAAACGCATAATTGACTTGTTAACTCTGAAATCATGGATTTATTTGAAGTTTTCTGCTCGATAGGCCCAAAATGGGCGATTAGGCCGAAGTAGTTCATTACTCTAAACCCACTTGCTATTAATTAAGAGCGTCAAAATGGACCCTTCAACCACTGCGGACTGGCTGGTTTTGAACGAAAAGAACTGTCAAAGCCAGAGCCAATCGAACAGCGCCTATCTCGCGTCACTTTTCAAATAGTCAAATGTAACAAATGTAAACAAATCGAGTTAAGCGATACAAGCTATTGCTCTTCTGTCATTTTATGTGATACAAAAACATCCATGCAAATTTACTTTCATTTATTTAAGATAATCATTGATCAAAAATTGTCCAATGTATAGTTTGAAATGATGGGTACATGATTGTTACTTCGGTCATTCGGACTGCCTAACATGATTGGTGCTCATTTTCCAAAGGCGGGGCCAATCTAAAGTTAGGTACTATACTTTGAAATCTGTGAAAGGGAATCTAGTATCATGTTGACAAAACGTCCAATGTAACACTCATTGATTATGTCATTGAGAAAAATCGTCCAATGTAACATGTCCGATGTACAACTCGACTTGTCAAAACGTCCTATGTGGTTTTTTCTATGTTGTAGCATGAAATTCAAAGTAAAATTGTGATTTTACCGTTTCTTCTGAATTTTCAACGTTATTATACACTGACTACATTAAAAATAGTATTGCAAAATGTATTGTTTTTAAACAGTTGAAATAATAATCTGTCGAACTTCAACTTCGATTTTCTCAAAATGGTGGATATGTTACATTGGTCTATTTAAAAAGTGACGCGAGCTATCTTGATTGCATTGGCAGTGTTGCTAGAAAGCACGTAAGCATAGGTTGCCAAGGCAATATATTATCAATCCGCTCCTCTCTTATTCTGGACACTCTCTAGTGAGGACCCCAAGGAATGTGTACAAAATAAAAAAAAGGTTAGTTTGCACTAAATGTCGCTGCTTTAGAAATATTTGTTCAGCTCTGACTATGAAAAATCGGCTTTTTTCATAAATCTCATCGGGACTACCTCTAAATCACATTTTGCAGAGCTTCCGTTACATAAAAGTTTTCAGTTAAAATCCTTGGCTCTGATTTGGAGGGAGAGCCACCAGGTTTCCATGCAGTGTTATCATAGAGGTAACTCTAAGACTAGAAGGTCCCGTTTTCAACTTTTTGGCTCAGCTCTGGTACTATCTTCGGTCCCAAGCTAGTCGATGCACACCTCGAAACATAGGAAAATCCACGAGCCCCTCATTTTATCTGTCAAACTTTAATAGCGAATAAAAACAAACATAATGTAGTACTAGAATTTCGACTAGAATGGGGTACGTTAGTCGATTTACTTGGGACCAATAGGCTAGTCAACTGAGCGTTAGTTTCGTTAGTTTCGTATTGATTGTTGGTGTTATTCTGGGTCATCCTACTCTATACCCTTCTTATTTATATGCTAAAAACAGGCCAGTGACAAGGCCTTTACCAACAGCAGCGTTTAACAGTACAGCATGTCCCGGACTCAAATAATTTATTTTGCTGTGCTGGGCCCGCTGTTATGGTATAACATGTTACTTACGTTCCTGCCACTGGGCTGGCTAAAAATGATAAAACATGAGTGAAATTTAAAAACAACGTCAATAATTGCTCAGTGTACCATCCACGCCGTGCCCAAGCAACGCGCGCATCGCCACACTCTCGCGTAGAACACACGCCGGCCGCCAACTTCTAAGTGTATATGGGTAAAGTTGTAACTCGCTCGATGGGCAGACGATCAGCCCGCGGTTCCACTCAGTCAGTTCTCGTTCGACCGGCTTCCGATACGAATTAACACGTCGTCAATATAAATATGTTTCACGGTGACGAGAGTGTGACAATATCTAAGCGACGCGTGCGGGCACAGTTCGGCTTTCGCGGAAGTCTGTGAAGATCGGCGGCTACCGACGATGATGTCTAGGTAGGGAGTGCAATTGTTTGCAAAGTTGTAGGTCTTATCTGGCGGGCATCGCTATGAAGCTGCCTGACTCCATGTCCAACGTGTTTAACAACAATGTGGCTGTGTCAGCAAATACCACCATCAGCCCTGTATCGTGTTACCGGTGCAATGTGGTTGTAGTCGCTGCTACTGTTGTTGGTGCCCGGTAGCAAAATTCAACAGCTGACCTGAGCGGTGACGGTGATATCAAAAATGCAGGATAAGGTGGATGAAGACAAAAGCCGATAACGAGTGCAAAAAAATAATCTGTATGCAAAATGTTTTCTGTTTACCTTTGCAAATTAATTAATTGTCCCGCGGTGGGTAGTTCTTGTATGTTGCCATGTGCCACATAGTGCCTCGTATCGTTGATTGCACGGTCCACAGTAGTTGCGGTGCGGCGATGGTGGTCCCCCAAGTTGTGAAGTGTATTCGATTGTGTTTGTGGTGGTTGCTCCGGGAAGATTCATTCAATTTAAATGTCAATAGACTGAGCCAAAATGTGTCGAACTGGCATTCGCCAATAGTAGTTTGCGGCGTAGGCGTTGATGGTGTCTATATTCGGAATGACACTGTGCTGGAAATGGGGTGCTTTCCCAATCATTTTGAAAACAAAAAGTTGAACGTTTGCTCCGTAGTACTGTGTGGTCATCAATTTACCTGCTAGTGCGTGTTAGACATCGTACTGAGTGTCGTAATCCGGAGGTGGCGCCAAGCATCACTGCAAGTCCCTTCCCATACAACTTGCAAGTGCTATTCGGTCAAGAGTGTGCGTTTGTGATTTAGTTGATGTGGCTTTGCGTTTTATACTATCTGAAATTAAGTTCACTTTGGAAAAGCTTTGAACATAGCGACAGTAATTGGATGGCCAGTGGCAGACAATTGTGAAACAATTCAATACTGGCGCAGATAACAAAAAATAATACGTGCGATAAGAACAAGGCTATGTGATAAATCATCAGATTAATATAAATGTATCAGACACGCCATAGTTACTTATCTCGATATGTTATCATTCACAAATGAACGGAAAACTATTTGAGGAAAAATACATCTTGTAGATAAATATGATCCGTGCTGTCATGGTAAATTTAGAGCTGGATTCTTCAAAAAAGTCATTTGTGCGCTTTTTTTAGAGGTTTAAATTAAGGAATGATTATTTCCCCCTAATTAAAACTAGGGTGTCGGTAAAACTTGTTCTGCAATCAGCTGGGCATAAAGCTTTGAAAACTAAGGTAAATGTGTAAAGGCACGTTAGTGCAATGTGGCTTTTGAACTCTCCAGAAGCCACTAAAGTTTTATAGCATGCTAAAAGTCTAAATTGTGGTTTACAGAAACCTCATAAAACCACAATTTCTACTTGGTATAGCACCTAACTATAGCTGCGATTAAGTTTCTTTTTCTACGGGTAATGGCATTTCAGTAAACAGTGGATCGAAACGCTACTATGTTTTATGTTCAACGTTTCAGTCTTTGGATTTGACCTTCTTCAAAATTCTTTACGATCTGAAACTAAATCTAGCCTTGATGAAGATCCCAAGCCCTGGATCGGAACGTTGGTGAGAGGTTGTTCATTAACTACGTAGACAGTTTTTTTTAGGATTCTTGACCTCCCCCCATGCGTAGACAATTGTCCATACAATTATTTTTTTAAATTTGTAAGGGCGGTGGATAATTCACAACCCCCCCTCCCCTTAAACTCTGTCTACGTAGTTTATGAACAGCCCCTGATGACAAAACTGTAATCAGCACTATAGTTTGAAAATTGAAAAACCCAATCAAAATGACTCATTCTTAAAGATTTTTAAACTTCCCCGATAGTCTATACTTTTCTGAGATTTACTGAAGACCTCTGAACTTCAATAGACTTTCCTGAATTTCTCAGAACTATATAAAAGTTCCCACAATTTTCCTGCAGTAAACCTGTTTCAGTCTTGTTATCGTAGCGGTACCGGTGGTGTAGTGGTAAGTATGATTGCCCCTCACCCCAAAAGGCCTGAGTTCATTCCCAGTCGGCGCCGCCGGGATTTTCTGAGGCATAAAATCTCTGATCACACCTTCCTTCGGATGGGAAGTAAAGCCCGATTCATGAGTTTTGATGGGTCGTACCGGTTCAAGTGTGGGAGCTGCCTCCCTGGCGTCGGTAGCATTGATACTCAGTACGGAAAACAAGATCGACGGAAAACAAATCAAAGAAAAACAAAAGTCATGCTATCGCACAAAACACAGATCCAAAACGGCTATGCTTAAAATAATTGACGATATTGGTCTGGTACTAGACAGGGGTCACCCAGTTGTTCTCATCCTATTAGATTTTTCTAAAGTGTTTAACACTGTGTCGCATGAAATCTTATGTCGTAAACTAAGATCAAATTTGTGGTTTTCCGTTCATGCTTCAAAACTGATAAAATCATATTTATGTGAGCGAACCCAGGCTGTATTTAGTAATGGAGAGTTATCTCAATTTCTTCCATTATCATTTGGGGTTCTCCAGTGCTCTATTTTGGGGCTAATTTTGTTTTCTTAATACATTAACGACTTCCCTGAAATAATTAAAAAAAAAATCAAATTCATCTTTTTGCTGATGATGCACAGCTATATTTTGACTGTGCTAGTAGCTCTGTTACTGAAATCTATCTAAAAATTAATGATGCTTTGATGAGGGTCTTAGATTGGTGTGCTAGAGCAATTTTTATTTCAAATTGGCCTTTTAAAAACCATCGTTGCTTTTTTTTAACTAGTTCGTTTATTTACTAGGCTCAGTCGTGTATGACACTTTGCGGAGCCAAAAATCAGTAATATTTGAATTTACAGCAGTAGTTCTAGGTTAGTATTGGGTATTGGAACACATTTCATTTGAATTCCAAATTACACTTGGTGCTCCACCATCAGGAGCCATCAGTTTCAAAGTTTATCCGGGAATTTACGGTCAAAATCTTAAAAAATAACAAAATCCGAGCGATATGAAAATGCACCCGTTTACGATCATTTGAATACCTTTCAACAATAAGTCTCTTTACTGTAGTCGAAAAAATAATAATCACATTGTGATAAATCAACCTAATTCTACATTGAAATTCCTTCAAAATGGTGGGTCAAGAACACACACAATTTGTTTGGTTGTGGAGAAATCTCAAGGGGTAGGTCACTCCGCACACCGTCTTGGGTCATCTTTTTTGTCAATGTGCCGCAAGTGTGCCGATTGTGCCGGTCATAGAGCAAGCTGCGATTGTTTGTAAAACATAATATGTTTTGGTTTCAAATCGCAAGGATAAATCGGATTGAAGATGACGCGGGAAGTGCCGGGTGTGTGAAATTTATTATTATTTTGTGTTCATAGGATAATAAAAGTCCTGTGTTTTAGGGTTTTATAATGCCCTCATTGCCTTTCGTGATGTGAAAAGCAACGGTATATCAGCGGCCGGAAAGAGTTGGAACCAGTGGCGAACATTGTTGGAGCAATAGACTTCTGTAGTTTGTTTTGTGGGAGTTGTATTTAGATCTATAAGTGAACTGCTGGTTTGAGTTCTTCAGTCAGTCAAACAGCACGTAATGTTGTGAACAACTTCAATGATAGCTGTCCAGCAGTGCTCCCATTTTATTTACAACAATCCAATGCCTACGATATTGTGTCGAAGATATGCCGAAGGTGTACCGATGGATGTGCCCAAGCTGTGCCGAATCTCATTTCGACACAATGTGCTGAGTAACTTACCCCTTGAGTAATCTCTATTCAAATATATAATACATTGATTTTCCTGCTAAAAAGCTCCAAATTTCCTTAGCGCTCGTCTACCTATATGTCTCTTAAAACATTTGTTCAAAGCATTTTCTTTTTGGAACACATCTATTAGATAGGTTTTCCAATTTGAGGAGGGAATTTCAGATCAAAATCTTGAAAAACAACAAATCCCGCGCAGTATGAAAAATTGCCTTGTTTTGATAAAATGGATACCTTATAGGAAGGCCTGCTCTTTACTGTATTTTGAATAACACAAGTAAAATTTTGTTTAATCTATTTTGTTTATTTGTTTATTTGTTCTTCGTCTTCGACAGTGTCGTACAGACTAGTTTAACTTATGCTATGTTTTTAATCCTATTTTTAAAACAATTTTTGGACACATTAAAATCAAACAAATCACTAACATTGTTGAAAGCTCTGAGGCAAGAACTGAGCGGGTTGTTATGACCATAACATGTTCTATGTGCGGGAACTGCGATAAGTGCTGAGTACCGCAGCTGACGCTGTGGAACGTTCAGTGATACTTGCAGGAGAAGATCCGAACAGTCGACGTTATTCTGGACGATATCGAATATAACCAGCCGCTGCAATTTCAGCCGTCTTGCCGATAGCAGTTCCAGATCAATTAGTTGACATCGTTCTGGATATGCAGGTAGATGGACAGGATCATTCCACGGTAGGTGCCGAAGAGCAAAGCGAATGAATGATTTCTGCACACGTTCGATGCGGATCACCTGAGATGTATGGTACGGTGCCCAAATGGGAGCAGCATATTCCAGGATACTTCGCACTAAAGCACAGAACAAGGCTTTTAATGTGTGCACGTCGGTGAATTGAGATGCATTGCGGCGAATGAACCCAAGAACGGAGAAGGCTTTGGCAGTAACGGTGGATATATGTTCGTTGAATCGAAGCTTACAATCCATGATAACTCCTAAATCACGGATAGACTGCACACGTTCCAGCGGAGCAGTGTCAATATTGTAAAGATGATTGATGGGAATCCAACAACGGCTAAAAGTGATCACCTTGCACTTATTGATGTTCACGCACATTCCATTTTCCTTGCACCATCGTGAAAGGGCATCGATGTCAATCTGCAGAGCAACACAGTCCAAAACAGACTTGATGACTCTGAAGATTTTGAGGTCGTCGGCAAAAAACAACTTTCCAGAAGATATTTGCAGGCACAAGTCATTGATGAAGAGCACAAAGATCAATGGACCTAACACACTCCCTT